GAATGGCGATCAAATGTAAAGAAAGAAAGACAGAAAGAAAGACAGAAAGAAAGAAAGAAAGAGAGGAAGAAAGAAAGAAAGAAAGAAAATAAAAAGAAAACAAAATAGAAAGAAAAAAGACAAAACTGAAATAAAAAAGAAAGAAGATCGAATTGAAAGAAAGAAAAATAGGAAAAAGAAACAACAAAAAATTGAAAAACGAAGAGGAAATTAAATAAAGTACGAAAGTGCGAAAGAAAGACAGAAAGAAAGTGCGAAAGAAAGAAAGAGCGAAAGAGTTAAAGAGCGAAAGAAAGAGAGAAAGAAAGAAAGAAAGAAAGAAGCTGAAACAGAAAGAGAGAAATAAAGAGTAAGAATTGTTTAATGCCATAGTTACATAAGATGCATCGTGAAAAATAAATTAAAAAATAAAACAAAGAGAAAAAAAAGTTGGGGAATAAAAACCGGAAGCAAAGGCGTAGAAAGGGAAGGAAGAAAAGAATGTTGGGGGGGGGGGACGATCTGTTAATAAGCACAAAAAATTTATGAAACCGTTCACCCTCCCCTCTTTCTATTCACATCGAACGAAACGAAGATCGTTTAATCGACGATAGATCAAAAAGTCTCTGAAACAAAAATGTTATTTCCATGTTTTAACACCGACGCTGCACAAACGAGATTCAAAATCTGGAAATACATATAACAACTAGAGATAAGAACCGCTTTAGTTCTGACATTTATTTAATAATTAGTTTACCGCTGACGTCAAAAAACGACGGCCATATTTAAGTAAATTTACACTATGTTTAATTATATCAGATCAAAATCATTACGCTTGTATGTGATTCCTTTAGCTATATTTAATATTTATTTGATATTAAACTAAAAATCAAATTAAATAAAGCTAATAAATGATAGTCTGTCTCGCTCGGTGACTATATATATATATATATATATATATATATATATATATATATATATATATATATATATATACACTGGACACTCCGTCGTTTTTCGACGGATGAGTGTCAGATATGAGAGTCTAGAAACTGCCAGCCAGACACCTGCACATATGATTTGATTATAATGGTGAAGGATTTGTCCAGAACCAACCACACTTTTTGGAAGAGCCAAATACAGAAAATTGATGCACCGTATGCCACGATGTTCCCAAACGACCCTCCGAAAGGTTTTGAATTAAGAGTTGTCCTTCTCCTAGACCGGGTGCCATTCAAGGCTATACAATCTAATCTGTCCTGCTATTTACCCATAGATGGAGGGAGAAGAAGATTCATACCTTTCCCAAGGGTATTACCCCGTAAGTGAATGTAATAGGTTCCTCAATCCGAGCCCCGATCCATTACTCCACCGTGCTATATATATATATATATATATATATATATATATATATATATATATATATTTGAATAAGCACAATTTTATGCTCATTTTTTGGCGAGGGGACCTAGGAAACCTTTCGGCCAATATTTCTTCAGGGACCGATCTTTGGCACAACTGAAGTAATGAGAATTAGATTGCAAATATTCAGGGAAATTCAGGGAGATAAGACTGGAACCCGTCTAGAACAGATTTGCGGTTAAAGTAAATACGTAAACTTAAGAGACTAAGTAAATGAACCAATCAGGGCATAAAATAATTAAAGAATCGCTCACTGACCTCTTAATAAGTTTAGAGACCGCAAAAAAAATATCCTTTTGGCTGCAGAGAGATGGTTGCTGCAATTTAAGACAAATGGCCTCCAGATCTAACAAATAGTGTTTAGACCTGCCTATATGCGAAATAGAGAATGAGTCCGTCGGGAAACAAGACGAGCACATCTCATTCTTCAATAGGCGGTGTCCGATTGCTGATTCGGGTACTGACTGCGACAAACGAGTATGATTACTTGAATGCAATCTGATATATTTAGGAACGTGTTGGTCCATTCTTGTTTCCAAGCTAAGACCAGTCCGTCCTATATACTCAGCTTCGCACTGACATTTAAACTTATAGATAAGTAAACTCTTACTAAGATAAGACAGACGTTCATTAGTAAATGAAGGAAACACTGGATGGGTGCCAAAAACAACACATCACTTCGCCGAAAAGAAAGTAGAAGAGACAGTTCTAGAAACTCTATAACCCAAAATTGTGCATTTTTTGTCAATCCATGGCAATTTTAGAAAGATAGGACACAGACTAAGGACAAATTTGCGAGACATATATATATATATATATATATATATATATATATATATATATATATATATATATATTGCATAATAGTGAAATCCAGAATCACCTCATGAATATAGACTATTTCAACTAATGTCAATGCGTTAACCTTATTCAACTCAAATGGTAGACTGTATTCAGTTTCGGAACTAGAAATTTAAAATTAAATATTTAAGAAAGAGATAAAAGTTGAAAAATTGATACGGAGCTAACCAAACAGACAACACAAAACTGTCTGAGTGGTGATAAGGGGAGGGTGGATGTTGTCTTCCTTAAATGGAAAGAAGTTACACAAATTCAACCCAGATATCAACCTTGGGGTTATAAGAAAAATGAAGTGAAATTCAAGGAAAGCCGAAAAAAAAACAAGTTTTAAGACGAAATTATTAATTATTAATTATATAACAAAAACAATTTTCCCATTTAAAATTTACCAAAATATCCTTACAAATAGATTATAAGGTTAACAATAATTCGTTTTCCGATAGTTTATATTGAGAAAAAATATTTTTTTTAAATTTAAAATATTAAAAAAATTTAAAAAATAAAAATATATTTATAAAAATATATTTTAAAATAATATTTTTTTAATTTTGAAAAGAATTATTTAAAAAAGTATTTGAAAAATTATTTAAAATTACTAAAATATTTTAAAATTATTAATATATATATATATATATATATATATATATATATATATATATATATATATATATATAAAAAAAGATGATTAAAATTAAAAGTAAAGATAATTATATGAACTATTTAAAATTTTAAAGATAAGTTAAATTATTAAGAATACCGACCATACCATGATAAAAAAAAACACAAAAGCCTTTATAAAAAAATTAAAAGGGTAAAGAAAAAGTTAAGAAAGAAAAGGGGGTTCAAAGTAGTGGAAGGTTATAACATAGGATTCATAAAGGGAAGACAAAATATAGAAATATCTATAGTAATAAGTATAACATTAGGTGGGTTAGATAAATAAAAAAATAAAGATCAAAAATATTATAAAAGTTTAAACCTCCTGTTGTGACGACATTTAGATACTAATTCATTCCTTTGATTTAATAGTTTGCTTTCATTATTACATTTTATTATTCTAATTTTCTCTTCTAAATATAGGTCACACCTATTCCTAAGACTATTAGGAGTATGAACGAAAACTATAATCTTCCAGTCAATCCGAGGGTTCAGACCTTTCTCCTGCAATTCCAAATTTTGGGGGAAAGAGCTGTCTGATATTTAAATTTGGCTTGGAAAAAGAGTGCCTATCGGTGTAAAATCTTTGTTTCCATTACCCCGCGGGAATTCCAATGTAAACATTGTGATTTAACTTATTAACTTTGGGCTAAATGGTTGCTTGGTATACGACGTTAGTAGCTCTGCATTTTCCTTCAAATGGGTGTGCATACCAGGTTTATTATTAATCCCATAAAGTTTACTTAAAATATAGTTATTATGAGAGTTGATAATTTTGTAAATGTTATTGGTGCAGAAATAGCTTGAATAAATGTATGAATAAAAGAAAAAGATAGGAGGAAAGAAAGAAAGAAAGAAAGAAAGAATGAATGAATGATTAAAACAATGAATAAATGACTGAATGAATGAATGAATGACAGAAAGAAAAAAAGAAAGAATGAATAAATGAAAGAAAGCGAGAAAGAAAGAATGAATGAATTAATTAATTAATGAAAAAAGAAACAAAGAATGAATGAATGTATGAATGAATGAAAGAAAGATAGAAAAAGAAAGAAAGATAAGAAGAATGAATGAATGAAAGGAAAAAAGAAAGAAAGAATAAGGGAAAACAATGCAGATAATAAAGGATGTTAAGAAAATTTTTTAAATTATAATAAAAAGAAAGAAAAATGAAGGATAAAAAAAACAAAAAGTCGAATAAAAAACAATTAAATAAAGTCAATCGAGAAAAGAATTCGATAAATAAAGAATAAATGGTATTATATTTTCGAAACAGAACTACGCATATCAAACCTTTCACCTGATGAAAATAGTGTCCAGTAAATAAAAGATGAACAACCTGTTCATATGACCAAGGTAAATCGACATCAGTGTTCAAGGTACAGAAAAGAGAAGAGAAAAGAGAAGAGAAGAGAGAAGAGAAGAGACGAAAAAAGAAGAGAAGAGAGAGTTTCTGGTAATATAAAATGGCCGACTAGTCGGTACAGTTTAAAACGGAAATAAAAGTTGATGTAAAAAAAAACATTAAAAAAATAAACACTTGCTAAACAGACGCAATTCGGAGTGGAGAATTGAGGATCGACCCAATTGGGATACGCCCTTTCATAAAACGTAGTCTGATATAAGACCAAATCAACATCGCATAGTCGAGATTTTAACAGAGATCGAACACCAATCATTGGCACTAGTAGAAAATATACATTATCTAATCTAACAAATATCACTGAGTTTCAAATAGACGGATCGGGACGATTATAGATTTTAGAGAAAAGTCCACCTGGGCATTTTTATTCCAAGAACTTTTGTTAAATATTCAAATGAAATACTTTTTTCCTAAAATGCTTGCAGCTTCGATTAAAGGATCGGGAAAATGTCTGGAATATTTAATTAAAGTGTTGGTTAGAATTGAGGATATGTAGGGTAGATTTTGGACCAAGAAAGAAAAATCGCCCAACCCCGTTTATATGAAACAAAAAGATAGGAAGATAGAGATTGATAGATAGTTTTGGAAATAGATATAAAGAGACGAAAATAGATAGATAGATAGATAGATAGATAGATAGATAGATAGATATAGATAGATAGATAGATATGAACAGACTTAGATAGATAGATAGATAGATAGATAGATAGATAGATAGGAACAAACTGAGATAGATAGATAGATAGATAGATAGATAGATAGTGAGAGAGAGAGATATGAACAAATTGAGATAGATAGATAGATATGAACAAACTGAGATAGATAGATAGATAGATAGATAGATAGATAGATAGATAGATAGATAGATGTGAAGAGACTGAGATAGATACGCACAAACAACCTGGGTTTTATAATAAGTATAACTCGATATGAGTTGTCCCCCTTTCATTCTGGTGACAGAATCATGTTTTATCGTGTTTTCAAATTGATTTGGTGCAAAAACAATTGTGTTTTTCCAATTTTTGGCGCTGTCAGAACCACTGCAAGGTAATTTTACGTAGTCCTGTGAAGTTTTGTTGAAATCGGTTGAAAAATGTAGGAAATCCAATCCAATATATAAATGTACACACACACACACACACACACACACACACAATCTGCATTTTATAATAAGTAAGATTTATTTAGGTAAGATGAGGAAACGGCATTGTCTAGTTTTTATTATTGATGTAAGCACTTGCATCTATTTAAGATGGGTTTTATTTTTGACTGGGCCTACGGGCTCAGACATACCCACATTAAAAAGGCCTTGTGCCACATTCAATTCCTGTGGGTGAATTGATAAATACCATTTAAGTTTATGTCTGGCTGCCATTAGCTGTCAATCAATGGGTCATGACCCATTTATAAAACAATTTTTATTTTTTGCTTTTTCGCTTTGTTTAAATTTAACGTAGCTCATATTTGATTTGTTAATCAGAGTAAATCCCACACACCTTATACCCCAATTTTTTTTTCTTCTTTTCGCAAAAAGAGGTTGCATTTTGTTTTTAAATCTAAATAAATCGTTTACTCGCCAGTAATTTACAATCGCCTGATAAGATACGTTGATATGCATCGAACTTCTTTCTATATCGCTCTCCATCCAATCAAGACTGTGGTTTAATCGATTGCCTTTCCGATAATATAGACAAGGCTATCCCTCTACATCCATCTGCAAACAAATTTGTGTTTGGAGACTTCAATGCCCACCATAGCAAATGGCTTAAACACTCTGTAACTGACCTTCCTGGCAAACAAACACTTAATTTTTCAATCTCTCACACAAGTGGTTGAATTTCCTCGGCGTTTCACCAGTAACCATGATGGTCAAGCTTCCCTTCTTGATCAATATTTTACCTCCATCCCCGAGTCTTGTTATGCCATGCAGCTCTGCCCTCTTGGCAACTCTGATTATGCCGTCGTGATTCATTTAGGTTTGTACGAAGAGAAAGGATATATACCTGTCCTTTCACAGAGCCCCATATCCTGTTCGAATTTTGATAAATAAATACTTTATTGTTCAACATGAAGCCCATTTAATTTCGTTTGCCTGGGATATGTAATTACTCATGTATTCATATTTTAAATGATGTCATATTTGAGGGGGTACAGCCTGTATATATGAGTTCTACTGATGATCTGAAGTGAAACTGAATCCCAACAAAAGTTCAAGGAGCCTCATTAAGAATCAGAACGAAGTGAAGACTATGAGGATAAAGGAGAAAGTGAATACGGGGGTCTGAACTGATGCAACAGTGTGTCTCTAAGGAAGAATTTACAGAAGAAAGCTCTCACCAGAACAATTAGCATGGCAAGGGAGGCTGCATTACGACAGTGGAAAAATGACTGAAACCGAATCCGTATTCAGACGTTGACAGACGAATATTCCATGTTTGGTCTAATCTGTCTTTTATAAATATTTCCTTCAACGATAGAATAAGCCGACCATTTTCTGGACCGTTAGTATTTTAGATAGATAGATAGATAGATAGATAGATAGATAGATAGATAGATAGATCTAAGTAGAATGAGATATATAGATAGATAGATCTGAGTAGAATGAGATAGATAGATAGATAGATCGATAGATAGATAGATAGATAGATAGATCTGAGTAGAATGAGATAGATAGATAGATAGATAGATAGATAGATAGATCTGAGTAGAATGAGATAGATAGATAGATAGATAGATAGATCTGAATATAATGAGAAATATAGGTACATAGATCTGAATAGATAGATAGATAGATAGATAGATAGATAGATAGATAGATCTGAATATAATGAGAAATATAGGTACATAGATCTGAATAGAATGAGATAGATAGATAGATAGATCTGAATATAATGAGAAATATAGGTACATAGATCTGAATAGATAGATAGATAGATAGATAGATAGATAGATAGATAGATAGATAGATCTGAATATAATGAGAAATATAGGTACATAGATCTGAATAGAATGAGATAGATAGATAGATAGATAGATAGATAGATAGATAGATAGATAGATATGAAGCGAGGTCTGGTGTGAACATGAGACCCTATGGTATGGAGCGTCACTGAGACTGGCTTCGTTCATCAGGACTAGAATGAATTTAGGATCTGATCCGGGATTCCGGAACTCGACACCGCTTAACTCTGGTGATCGAACGGGAACAGATGTTTCCAACGAGATTTGATCGTAGGTGGAATAAGTAGGCTGGACATTGCTTTAAAGAGGTTAAGATTGTAGTGAGCAGGTTACAATCAGCGCAGGAGTATATTCCATAAAGTAGCAGGACATTGGGTAAAGCTGTCTGAGTGGAAGTTCTTCCTTACAAATGGAATACGAATGAAATCTGAGTGTACAATGTACACCACATTCCATCTGGCTTAATTAATAAATATGGTACCATTATTGAAACCACGACATCAGTTATTATATATTATCTGAGACAGAGAACCGTGTAAGAACGTTTCCACGTCGTCTAGTCAAGTAAGACATTTAGACAGTCGGGTTCGTGTTTGGAGGAGACCACTCAGGATCTTTATTGCCAGAAGAGTAATGCAAATTGCATAATATTTAGATCCCTTTATATTCGCTTTGCTTCCCGGTGTAGATGGTTCGTCCCAACAAGATAACGCAATTTCTTCATTATTCATGGGTGACATGAAAGCAATTTCAGAAAAATTCAGCCTTCGGGTTCGCCAGATTAAAAGCCCATTGAGCATATACGAATCATGCTGCAGGCGCCACTTGACTATTTGCAGCCTCATTCAGCTTAGTTCTGACACGTGTCTTCATAGATAAAAAGAAGTAATGACTTCGTCTACACTATGTCATACTAGGTAACTAGTTTTATTTGGGTTAAACGGGAAGGGTAATAAGTCTTATAAGACCCCTATTGTTTTTTTTTATATTTAATTTCAGTGCCATGGAAAGATTGTAACTGCGGAATAAATTCACTACAGCTTCTATAAGTAACATAATCACTAATGCTTTACGGTAGATGTCTCATCTCAGACACGCATCTGAACTAATGTTATACCAATTGACTAGGAATGTTTTTTACGAGTTACTAACTATCTCCATGTACCAATTTGTTTATTTAGCTATAGATAGATAGATAGATAGATAGATAGATAGATAGATAGATATGAAGAATCTGAGATACATATATATATACATAGATATGAACCGACCGGGACAGATAGATAGGCATGAACAGACTGAGATAGATAGATAGATAGATAGATAGATAGATAGATAGATAGATGAATAGATATGAACCGACTGAGATAGATAGATAGATAGATAGATAGATGGATAGATGGATAGATAGATGTGAGAGAAAATGAGATATGAACCGACTGAGATAGATAGATAGATAGATAGATAGATAGATAGATAGATAGATAGATAGATATGAGCAAAAATGAGATAGATAGATATGAACCGACTGAGATAGATAGATAGATAGATAGATAGATTCGAATAGGAAGAACTCGAAAGAGCAAATGAAAAAAAAATACAACTCGATCCGCAAAGATAGTTTATTTATAAATGCCTTTTGTGCTGGCTGTGTGGCAGAAATGTGCGTAAATAGATAAAAGCTTTCCCCGTTCTCTCCGGACAAAAGTCATAAAGAAATTCTACTACTACGAAGCCGAACGAATGCAAAGGAAGAAGTAATAATAAACGCAAGAATGGTACGAAGGTAGTGGCGGGTTTGTAAGGGTGGCGGTGGTGGCCGTGAAGCTGGAAAATGGCGAAAAGAAGTCGAAAGAAAGAAGAGATGGCCAAGTAGGAACTAATAAAAAAAACAGTAGGCGTAACCTATAAAGGCGATAATCGTAATGAAAAAAGTAGGGGAAATAATAATAATAATAATAATAATAATAATAATTATTATTATTATTATTATTATTATTATTATTCGTTGTTTTGTCAGATTAATAGAATAGATGTGAAAGAATGAGAAAAAATGGTTGCTTATCTCGACGTCGCCATGTAGCTGGAAAATTCTGCTGAAGTACATGGAACCGTTTTCAAGAACCTATAAAAATTGTTTAGAAGAACTGGAAATCAACTGAAGCGTCGGGATCATCCAAACAACGACATTATTCAAACCGGCTTCAAGATGAAAGCGTGAGAATTAGAAAAAACTTGTTACCGTTGATCTCACAACCGGTTACTACTTTTGTGTGCATAATAAAACCCAGCAAACTCCTCGTCTTACGAACGTTTCTCTTAACAATTTAAAAATAAGTCAGCTGACAATGTTATTTTATTTATGGTGACTGGATTTTGGGCTATTCCCTTACTCGCTTATCGTCGTTCGATGCTGTGCATCTAAAAACGCCGCTTTTATCGCGGTTGCCATCATTTTTCGGACTTTTGGCTAGGATCAAAATGTAGTATCTGTTCTGGGACAGAAAAATTGCATTTCGTCTCCCAGTTATCCTCAGACAAAATGCAACTCAGTTGTGTCTTTTTCTGCAAATTGAGCGCAACTGAAAATATTACTGAGAGAGGTGTCCGGTTTTGGGAAACAAAAGCAGTACCACCTTCATTGCACTAAATAGGGGATAATACCGATGCCAGCGCGCGCGACGGTTACGAGGTCTGGCCTATTTTGGCTTCCCCACATTAAACTGACCTTGTGTCACATCCTACATTGCAGACAACAGAACTTTTTGAAGGCAGGTGTTTGACTTTTCCTGCACAGCTGAGGTAATTTTTAATATATAGGACACAAAGAAGTACCAAAAAAATTACCGGGGCCTTGAAGCATTTAGTTTTACCTTTAATCGTGCGTTTGATGACATTAACAGGATACCCGTGGCAACAGATGTTTTCCCTTTTTTTTATCAAATTTGCAAGGTGAACTTATCAACGCATGGTAAACTAAGTTAGAAATCAGGTTTATCTTACGGGACTTGGGGACGAAAGAATCTAAAAGGTACAGTCAACAAAAAAGACAAAATCGAATATGTGAAACTATAAGATATTTAAAAAATATAATCGCTCTTCGGCTGTTTGGATAAGATCAAAGTGCAGTATCTGTTCTTATGAGTTAAATTTGACTCTCTTTCTCCACTTTTATCATCTCTTCTTTCTTTCTTTCCTTGTCTTTCCCCCTCTTCCTACTCGATCAAAACGGAATAGTTTATTATTTATGAGTTATTGACAGGCCGTAAAGGTCGTGCGAAATAATGAAGAGCGGCACAAGCCCAATTATAATAATTAGTGGTTATAACATGTTTTGTATTTTAGGGAATTAATATGGGCTGCAGTAGCACAGACTTGAATGATCTTAATCAGCTTAGGGGATGATGCACTGTACATTTCTGTTCATAATAATTAGAGTAATTAGAGAATTATCATCACCTGATGTTTAAATTATATCAATCAAGATAAATAACAGTCATATCTAGATACTTGTAAACACCTTTAATGGAAGACCATTTCAGGGGACTGGATTACCTGGCTTGAAGATATTTCTAACTGGATCCCACCAGCACGGTCATTCGCTGTTTTTATCAAAGTCTGTCACCATATCACTCATTTGACTATGATGTATGAGGTTAGCATATTCTTATCAGTCATAATTGGTGTGTAGTTGTACACCAACGTCACTTTCTTAGTGTGCTACTATCTATCATATAAGACGAAAATGAGTAACTACCGACAACGAGGTTCGATCCTGACACTCTAGACTTATGAATATGTTTTCCGACAGGTGTATAAATAGCGGTGTCAGGCTACTGACTGCAGTGATTATTGAATGACTATTGAGTGGAACTATCTAGTCGAATTAGTGTGCATTATTATGCGTCAATGATTTGGGTTTTGATTTAAGATTTATTGAACATTAAGCCAAGCCACGCCCTAAATAAAGAATTCACTGAAATGGTTAATTATCTTTGGTTGTCTTTTAATTCTTTATTCTTACTGAGTATTTATTTGTGGTTGTGATTAAATTCTGTTTTATTTTAACATTGAAGTTTTGAGTTGTACTTAATTATTAACGGCCAACGGACGTGACAAAACTAGCTCACTAATAATAATAATAATCTGGGAGCTGAGAAAAGTGTTCGTCAAAAAGTGAAGGTTATACCGATAGTAATGGGTGCACGTGGAACTACCAGAAACGCTTTGCGATTGGTTGAATTGAAACAAAAAATCGAAATAGTGCTAATCTCCAACACTGCTGGGGCTTGCGATGATAGTGTGGGAGGTGCTGTAGAAACTGTCTGCTGCTACACCCGGCATAGGTCTATTAATAGTAACACTAGTAATCGTAACGGCGAAGTATGGTAATCGTCTCTGATAAAAATGTGAAGCAAATATACAGGTAGTAAGAATAAATAAGACGGAGAAAAAACGACAAAGACGGGAATGATTAGTGAGAGTGAAAGAAAAGTAAAGGGGAAGAAAGATAAAAAAATAAAATAAGATTCAAGGAGAGAGAGGAAAAGGCGATTGGGACTGAGAAATAGTAAAATTCACTGGTAATTGGAGGTAAAAAAAAAGAAATGAATCGATAAGCAAATTTGTAAAAAGTAAGAAAAAAGTAATGCGAATTAAAGGGGAAAAAATGTTATCAAAATGATCCGAAAGAAGAAGAAGAAGAAGAAGAATGAAAGAAGAAGAAGAAGAAGAAGAAGAAGAAGAAGAAGAAGAAGAATGAAAGAAGAAGAAGAAGAAGAAGAAGAAGAAGAAGAAGAATGAAAGAAGAAGAAGAAGAAGAAGAAGAAGAAGAAGAAGAAGAAGAATGAAAGAAGAAAGTGACAAAGAAGTCAAATAGAAGAAAAGATGATACAGAAGAGGATAATGAAAATAGAAGAAAAATAGGATAGGAAATATATGTATAAAAACTAAAAGAGACCGAGCATTAAAGATAGATAGATAGATAGATAGATAGATAGATAGATAGATAGATATAAACAGACTGGGATAGATAGATAGATAGATAGATAGATAGATAGATAGATAGATAGATAGATATAAACAGACTTGGATAGATAGATAGATAGATAGATAGATATAAACAGACTTGGATAGATAGATAGATAGATAGATAGATAGATAGATAGATAGATAGATAGATATGAACAGACTGGGATAGATAGATAGATAGATAGATAGATAGATAGATAGATAGATAGAAACAGACTGGGATAGATAGATAGATAGATAGATAGATAGATAGATAGATAGATAGATATGAACAAAATGAGATCGATAGAGATAGATATGAACAGACTGGGATAGATAGATAGATAGATAGATAGATAGATAGATAGATAGATAGATAGATAGATATGAACAAAATGAGATAGATAGAGATAGATATGAACAGACTGAGATAGATAGATAGATAGATAGATAGATAGATAGATAGATAGATAGATAGATAGATAGATAGATATGAACAGACTGGGATACATAGATAGATATGAACAGACTGGGATAGATAGATAGATAGATAGATAGATAGATAGATAGATAGATAGATATGAACAAAATGAGATCGATAGAGATAGATATGAACAGACTGAGATAGATAGATAGATAGATAGATAGATAGATAGATAGATAGATAGATAGATATGAACAAAATGAGATAGATAGATGGATAGATAGATAGATAGATAGATAGATAGATAGATAGATATGAGATATGAACAAAATGAGATCGATAGAGATAGATATGAACAGACTGGGATAGATAGATAGATAGATAGATAGATAGATAGATAGATAGATAGATAGATATGAACAGACTGGGATACATAGATAGATATGAACAGACTGGGATAGATAGATAGATAGATAGATAGATAGATAGATAGATAGATAGATAGATAGATATAAACAGACTGGGATAGATAGATAGATAGATAGATAGATAGATAGATAGATAGATAGATAGGAAAGATAGATAGGAAATGTAGAAAAAAAGAAATGATTTGAAAATGAACAAAGTCTGGACGCATCAGAATGAAAAGAAGAATCTGGTCATTACCGAAGAAGCAGAAGAAATGAAAGATGTTAACTAAAGAAGTTGAGAAAAAAGAAGAAGAAGAAATGAAAGAGAGATAATGTCTCATAACGAAATGAAGAAGCTGGTCATTAAAGAAGAGGAAGACGTCGATATCTTCATTGGAGCATGTTATCATTATTATTTTCGCTCATTGTATGAGAGACAAATTCTTGCCTTGGTGCTGTCAACCTTTATGCCAAAGAGGAAAACAGCTGAAAGCCGGACACTAGGTGTTTCAGCACCAATGAATCCATAGCAACTTAACAGCTGTCCAGCCATAAATGTCAACATACACAGGAGAAAGAAGAGAGAAGGAAAACCAAAAAAGAAAAAAAAAATGTGGGTCTGGGCATCAATTTTGGAAAATATCTTGAAGGATTATATAGTCCGAACCCTTCGTTTCTCTGACGCCATATCGTGCCTCTATCCTCAATTAAATATTTTCTGTCATTCTCTCTTTGCAGGCACGCTTTCCCGCCAAATAACACTGCCCCCACCATCGTCTTCCTGCCCGACCGACCCTGCAGAAAGTTTACCCCTACCCCAACCCACCCATTCTGTGGCGCACGCACTTGCTTTCAATGAGTTATTTATGTCTCTTCTGCGGCCTTTATAAATGATGGTAGCAAACGAAAATCCCTTCGAGTATCTAGTAATGATAAAGATGGCGGCGTAGACATAATAACAGTAATCTTACTACTAATGAAGAGCTACCGAACATTTCTGTCGCACATGACAACAGAACCAATGAAGGCAAAAACGTTGGTCAATAGTTTAAACCTTTATTCATCCAAGACTGAGCTGCAAAATTCCGTTCAGGGCACGACTCGAAATGCCGCTATTAAAATTTTCCCTTAACGTTAAATAAAGCAATTTCCCTCTCAAACATACGTAATACATATTTTTATGGAACTATAGTATCACAGGACTTCTTTTATCTGTAATGTAGATGATCAAAATACAACTTCTATGTACTATAGATCGTGGGCGAACATGGCTCTCCACAACTTCCTATCCTTTGTAGTTCTTAGCAATGCCAATAAAAAGATGCCATCTATTCTTACTCTAAGGATTTTAATCTGAAACACATACATTATATTGCTAAAATATCTTCTATGTACTATAGATCGTGAGCGAACATGGCTCTCCACAACTTCCTGTCATTTGTACTTTTTATAAGTTTTTTCGCTATCTCTTCCAACACTTGTTCTTCTGTGCAATTACACAAACTTATTAGGTAGGTTACTCGCTATTTCACTCTGTCTTTCTTGCCTTCAATATATCTTGTGAGTGTCAAATTCTCTAAGCCTTCTTTTCTTATTAGGCATCCCAGAAAGTTCATTTGACTCTTTCTGATTCTAAAAACAAGTATCGTCATTGTTACCATTTTCCTTAGAACTTCTTCGTTGCTCACATGTTACGTCCATGTTATTCTCAGCATCCTTCTGTAGAACTACATCTCATTTGTTTAATTTTAAAAGAAGTATCTACTCAAACACGTGTAACTACTAACATGTAACTTTCATAATAAGAAATATTGTTAGATTAAAAATTCTCTTAATTAATGACTTTTCATAGCTTAGTGGTAAATAACTTCTGGATAAATGGTAGATTCCCAGGTCAATGAAGAACGCAATCTCAAGTGAGATTCATTTTCTTTAATAAGTTCCAATATCTAAGACGCTAGAAACAAATTTCACCGTTAAAAAAGAAACAGCCATATTTTCTACATGTGTACACACCTTTAATATAATTTTTATAGAAATGACGTTCAATTACTTTTAAATTCATGAATTGCTTAGAAATTATTTTGCTTAAATTTCGGGTACAAAAATAAAGTTAGCAGGTACAAACTTCGAACTTCCACAACGAGAAATGTGCCTTTCTTGAATAAGATATCTGAGGTTTGCTTTTCTGTAATGGCACCTCGTAGCTTTGAATAAAGAACGACTCACTTGAGTAATGGTGAAAGGAAATACAGGCTCGATTCCCGTGGAGATGCATATTTTTTTAATAAAACTTTCATCTAGTAGATGTTACTCCTCCTTTTTAACAAAACAGAGATGTCTTCTCATGCACTTATACTCACCAAAATATAACGTTTATAGTAATAGGATATATGTGTGTGTGAGAATGCTATCGAGGAACTGAAAAATGTGGCCAGTGATAAAATAGGAAACACTAAAGACAAGACCAAATACATAATTATCAAATGCTAATAACATTTAAATCAAGAAAGCAATCCTCTTTACAGAGGAAAGGCCGGAAGGGCTTAATATATACAGTTTATGAAACTTTTAGATGCAAATCCGCATGAACCTCCTTCAGTAACGTGAATAGGTCATGGCTGTAGGTGTGATGACTATTTAACAAATGTATAGGCATCACCGATGAATAATAGTTAATAATTATACTATAAGATTTACATTGTAAACGTTTTTACTAAATAAATACCTTGAAAGTTAGGATATAATGAATTACAAATCGTTAAGAATTCCGAGAATTGTCACTGAAAGCTTATGGCTCATTATTTTATTATAATTCTGCTCGTCTCTCCCTTAGCACTACCGTCACGCCTTGTCAATACCAGATAAATAATGGACCATTCCGATTTGATCACGTAGAAAGACGGAAAAACACAAATCTGAGACGCTACTTGGTTTGAAAGAATGAAAGAAAGAAAAAAGAAAGAAAGAAAGAAAAAAGAAAGAAGGGACGATAGACGTGTTTACCTTCTCTTGCCAATATCTCATAAATAATGGACTATTCCAATTTGATCGCGTGAAAAGACGGACAAACATATCATGAAAGCTACTTGTTTTCAAAGAAGGAAAGAAAGATGTGAATATAAAAGTGAAATGGAAAAAGTAGACATTTTCAAATCTTTTCGTTTGTACTCCCTGACTTCTAAAATAACGACCAGGGGTCATATTGATGATTGTTATTGCAATGTTTTGATAAAGTTGTTCAGCTCAAATATTTTAACAATGTGACGGGGGGGAGTCTCTAAAATATTTTCTTGTCGTAGAACTCGTCACGATATTATGTACTCATTAACTGAAGAATTAAAATTCAAATAGGAAAACTGTGAAACTTTCAAGGGTACCTCTAGTGAATATAATCTTTTCATGGGTACCTCTTATATATATATAATCTTTTGATGGGTACCTCTAGTAAAAATAATCATTTCATGCGTACCTCTATTGAATATAATCCTTGTATGCTTACCACTAGTAAATATAATCCTTTTATGGGTACCACTAGTGATTATAATCCTTTCATGGGTACCACTAGTAAATATAATCCTATCATGGGTACCTCTAATAAATATAATCCATTCATGAGTACCTCTAGTAAATATAATCCTTTCATGAGTACCTCTAGCAAATGTAATCATTTCATGGGTACCACTAGTAAATATAATCCATTCATGGGTACCTCTAGCAAATGTAATCCTTTGATGGGTGCCTCTAGTAAATGTAATCCTTTGATGGGTACCTCTAATAAAATTAATCATTTGATGGCTACAGCTAGTAAATATAAACCTTAGAATAAATAGAAATTAATGTGAAGAATTATTTTAGCAAAATATCCAGGTGATACCACGAGTTACTTAAAGAAAAAAATATTATTATTGTTGTTGCTGCTGTTATTATTATTATTATTATTATTATTATTATTATTATTATTATTATTACTGCTCTTGTGATTGTTCTTTGTTCTCATTAATATCATTATTATTCGCATTAATTATTATTAATATCAATAATCTTGTCTTTGAGCAAAAAGATTTTCTGATACAGTCACGTACAGCACATAAACATAAATTGTAATTAATTCGATTTAGCTTCATTTTTTTTAGGTGTGTGCAAAAAGTGATTGTCGTGATTCAAGCAAATAAACAAGAAAACAAATGATAGAAAGCATAGAAGGCTTAGAAGCATACATTTATCAAGAAAAGGTATTTTGGAATAAGCCATAACAATTGCGTTCTATACTTTGACTTTCATTTTTTTTTCTTACCCACTCGACTGATTATGCGTGCCGTAAGCGCCGGAAAATGAATATTTGCTTGTCAT